ACTGTGAGCACAAAGCATACGGAGCAGAACATGACCCAGAACGCAGAAGTCCCCTTGCCCAGGAGGTAAAAAGTCATCTTTCCTCTTAACCTGGCTGTCCATTGCCAGCAGCATTCCCCTTTCCTCCAGTTGTATTTCAGAGGTAAATAGTGAGCACTACTGTGGCCTGCGGGAGGAAACACGAGCTGCTGACTTAAAAAGTAGTGTCTAAGGGGATGGAAGTACCTTCCTTAGGTAACTCAGCAATCTCTACTCCCAAATCAGATTTTGCTTCACATAGAGTTCTGATCTATCTTCTTTTTATTGACTTAATGACACATTAAGTACCAAGATTCACATACAGGAGTCCGGATTACATTCTGGCCTAGGTTGCCAGAAGCTACATACTGCAACCTAATCTGCTGGTACTATGAGTCCTTACTAGATCCAGTGCAGTTCCTGCAGATGAATGGTTGTAACATCCAGATTACGTACCAACAAGCACATTTCATCACATAAATTTTGTATAAATTAAAGCACATTCTAAAACCAAAGAGAATTGGAGTAAACATGCTTTACACAGTTTGTACAATGAGGAAATACTCTTTTATTATTAAGCAAACCCCTTGGTCTCGGTGGTGACAGAAGACCTCTGAAGAACTATTCATTCCACTGGTTGCTGAGCAGAGGGAATGATAAACAACTTAAAAAATAATTGTTTTAGTGGGAGCCAAAAAAACAAAATACAAAGGAACTAAGCTTCAGGGCGATACAATTAGATTTAGTACAAAGTATTATTATATAGTGATTCTTAATATAACTTTTCTTATGCAAATGTTGAGGGTGATTATTATTAAATATCAAAACACCAGGTGAAGACAAAGCCAGATAACGTACTGAAAGCTTTTCAGAGTCCTTACGTTACAGTCAAAAATAGAACTTCAAAGACTTTAAAGTGAACAGGAAGTCTCATTTCAAGGGATAACACATTAAAGCCTTGTCATAATTCAGGCAAATTGTTTCCACTGATGAAAAATAGTTAAGTAGATTTCTAGTGACAACAGTCTTGTTGAAGTAAGTACATGTAACTACCCCTGGGAAAAGATCAGGATCCAAACCCCCGCTTTCTGTTGTGCAGAAAACCATAAGCAACTCTTGATTCAGAGGATGAGCTCAGGAGATTAAACCTTTATACTTTAAAAAAGTGTCTGGTTAAGTCCTCATAGGCCTTAAACATCACCAAGTCACTGCACGAGTTAGTAAAACAATAAGATGATCCAATAACCCAGCAGCAATCCAACTGCAAGCAGGCAGATCGAGAAACTTGGCAAGCATAGGGAGTACTTTGCATGCCTGCCAAAAAAACGAGTTCTGAAATTATTTCTGTATATTAATGAACGAAAATTGAGTTGCATGCTTTACCACAAAAAAAATGTTACTTACATGATACATTATCAACTGTGAACTAAGCTTACCGAGTACAAGATTGCAAATAACAAAATTGCATCGTTTACAGCAATAGTAACAAAAACTACGAAGCCTGGAATGAAGGTATTGCAATGCACTCCTACAATGAAACACAAGAAAAACTTGATGAACAGCAAAACTTCATGAGCTAAACAGCATGGTGGTTTTCAAGTTTGTACTGTATTTATTTACAAAGTTAAATGTTTCATAAATACACAGACACAAATAGACAGATACTCTTAAAACGGAAAAAAAAATATTCCATTGCACTTTGTGGATCCTGGTTTCCAGTGAACCCAAGCAATGTTAAATATTGCTGTAGTAGATTTTATACTTCACTGCTAATTTTACACTAAACAAATACTGCAAAAGGGAAAATAGATCTTTATGACACAAGAGGAAAAAAAGTAATTCCTGTCCTTCCCATAACACCTGTATTTCCAGAAAACCATGGACCCGATCTTTCAACTGTCCACATTTAATTTTACTCTCATGAGTAAATCTCATCGATTTTAATAGAAAAGAATTCATATTAAGAAAGGCAAACACATATATGCATGTATTTTGGACTGAGGAAAAATTGGGCCTTTTACACAGTAATTACTTCAGTAAACACATTATTACTCCTATACAGGAGCTTTGCTCACACAAGGAAAAAATGTTACGGAACAAAAAAGTGCACATTAAACATTTCAACTAATATAGTAAAACTTTATTCAAAGGATAAGTTTACACAGACTGCCATCAATAAAAACATTAGCTTGTTGTAGTTAAATGAGATTGAACTCTGCTGCACGTTCTGTATTCCAACTGCTTCGAGCACAGCGAGCTATCAGTCCTCAGGAGGCAGAACCCTGCCTCATTCAAAGTCAATGGGAATTTTGCCATCCGTTTCAGAGTAGAAGAATGTTTTGGAGTCAGCTTCCTCCCCCTCCCCCCTTTTTGTAAAAAATAAGTCAGAACAGAGAGAAATCCTCCGCATTATGAAGAAATTTGACTAAAAACCAAAAAGAAAATAAGTATACAGGATTTATTCTCCAATCTCTTGCAACAATTAGATTCCAGCAGAAGTTGAGAATTTTATCATCTTTCTCTTCTATATGTACCCACCAACCCCATTTTGTTTGATTACATATATACACAAACATATGCATGAATTTCATTAAGACTGGAAAAGTATGTACCGGAGCAGTTTAACAGGCAGAACAACGTATCACATGCAGTAGGACCAACCACGCTTGGTTCAGACCACTGAACACTTGGGCTGTGCATACTCTCCTTTTTGAGTGAGAGTTGCCCTTGTCTGGGTATTTCTTTCCTTGACCTGTACCAAGCTATGATTTTGCCCCTCTTTATTTCATTCCATAAAGAATCTTGACTAGGGATACATGCCTTTCAAGTGTGAAAATTGCTGGACTCCAGAAGGGCTTTGAATTTCATACTCGGGAAGTTACAAAAGCATGAGGGGAATGCTATCTAATCCTAACTGTTTGGGTACACGAACATGTTTGCCAGATGACCCAAATGTCCTGATCTCTCCTAAGGCTGTATTTTTGTGTTGGCAGACAGAATTTCCCTTGCAGGCTAAAAATGAGGCATATACAGTACGAAAAAAACATTAGATTTATGACAAGCAAAACTGCATTATGTTATGCCAGGTCCTAGTCAGCTCCCTGCCAGCCACAGCAAGGAGCTTGGGTAACTTGATTCACTACTGAATTTGGGTATCTAAAATGAAGACAGCATTACTGTGGTTGCTGGGTTTTTTAATTGTTTTCTCAGTGAGAGAACTTCCAGTTTGTTATCCACATAATTCTGAAATAAGAGCAAAACCATAAATCAGCTGCTTGCAAAATCTTGCAGACCATGACAGAAACACTCTGAATATTTCACTGATGTCTGTTTCTGGATACCTATCTAGTTAATGTAAGATGAGGAGTCTCCACAGAACTGTTCTGCAGGAAATAAGCTCCACCTAGCCCTGCCACTACATTTTCTTCCATGAAAAGTTTCCTGTGATGAATATAGAGCCCATAAAGTCTGTATGACTTGGTGTATTTTGAGCAGAATAACTTACGTGCCTTGCAGAGGTACCTTGCCTCAGATGCTAATGTTTAACTTTTGTGCTCTTCCCCGACAAATCTTTCTACTGACATAAGTTAGCTTTACAGATTTACCCTAGTTACAGGCTCTACCACTAACCCAAACACAAGGGTATCACAACCTGAAGACAGATGAAAGCTCCAGAACTTGGGCAAATAAGAAACACTTAACTTAGCTGTTCATTTAAGCCTTCCAAAAATGCCTTAACTGGAAGAAAGCAGCAACTGAAAAGCATCAAATCAGGCTTGTACCTCTGGAAAACTGTTTCACGATTTGGATCCATACAGATATTCTTTTACTAAAAAGTTACACTATAGAGTTTCTGGCTTAAAAAGTTGTTCCCATGAAACAGTCGCAAGATGTAATCATAGGAGGCTTATTTTTTCTTTTCAGTTCAGGAAAGAACTTAAAACTTCACTGTCATTGGGTTAAAAGTTCCATTATTATTCAACTCCAGGAGGCAAGGGCATAAAATCATTGTGCCCAAAGAAACTAACATAAAATATTCCATGGGGCTTCCAAAACCTTGCAAAAAAAACCCTGAAAAATGGAACCTGTGCTCTCTTTCACTACTAAGTAAGGACCAAGCCACTTAAAGTATACTTTAACAGAAACAGTACGCCAAAAATCTAGATAATCAGAAGAGTCATTATTCGCACCACAAATTTTGGGGAAGTACAATAGTATCAAAACGTTCAAATAAACTATAGGAAGCCTTAGAAATCTGCAAACTCTAAGGCAGTGTAAGAGTCACAATATCTGTGCTTGAGCGGGCTCAAGCTCTGCTTTTGCTAATGGCAGAAATCCTACAGTTCATTGGCAGACTTCAATGAATTTAGGACTTCCCCGTTAATTTTAACCTATACTAAAAGAAAGTTTAGGGCTTTCATTTTAAGATGACCGGATTTAAATATAACTCAGAACTATACGATGCTCATTGAGCTCAAGAGGCTTATCATAAAAATTCATGTGCAAAAATCTAAGTTATATAACATTTACTAAAAACAATAACAAAACTTTAAAAAACTACTGTATCCAGAATTTTCCCTCAAATATTGTTACTTTCATCTTTCGGTTGGCACACAGCTGACATTGCAGTACCACTTTAATGTGCAAGAAATAAATGGAAAGAGGGCGAGGGCGGGGGGGGACACACACGGAACGGACACACAGACACAACGACACCGGACCACAAACACAATGCTGTCAGCAAACCACCACCACAGAGTAAATGAGTGAGACATCCCAATTTCTCAATTTTACCTTACCGCACCATTACAAATACAGATAACAGTAGTAATCAAACAACAAATTTCACCATTGCAGTACTATTGATGTTTTGGCCATATGCACGGGCCAAATTCTGCCACTTATCTAGTGAGATTTTTGAAATTGAATACAACCTTTCCAGGCATCGCATTTCTAGACTTGCAACAAAAAAAGATCCTTACCAGGAATAATCATGAATAAGAGCCTGGGTAGATTTTTACTTTCATCTTTTGAGAGGTCTTTCCAGGGCCCACACTTTAAGACATGGGTAGCAGCTCCACAACAGTAGATAAATTCTTCATGTAATGGGACTGGCTCTTCTGATGCTGACCTCATGTTTGCTGTTAGACAGAATAAGATACTGTTGTAACAGATCGGCAAATATTTACATGGCTGGCTCTTTGCTGTTATACCTTTCCATAGGATAAGTGTTAAAAAACCCAAACCACCCTCCCCCAACAGCTGTCATGTCCAGTAAACAGAGGCCAAATTCAATATTTGATGTTTAAATCTGTTGTAGAAGTTGATACATGTTACTACTATATGCGAGAAAGCATTTTTCAGTTTTTGTCACAGAAATATACAGTGATGAATTGGACAATAAGATCTATTCTACCTTAAAGGCAAATAATTTTAAATGTCTTATTCACGCTGCCCACTGAAAAGACTCATTTTAAACCTATCTGAAGGCAAGCAAAAGAAAAAAATACCAAAACCAAACAGAACTACTGCATGAATGTCTTCTCAAGTACTGTGTGCCTCAACTATGGGAGCACAGCATCACTTAAAAACAACCATCAAAAAAACCCCAACAAAAAACAACCAGAATAAAACACAAAAGAAAATACCAGAGGCCAAAAGGAACACGCTAATTACTAGATCGCCTTCCAGCACTAGGTGGGCTCCTCATTTTAAGTGCAGCATAACTTGTCTAGAAATTTTCAGATGATCAAAGGAGGAGTCTTTGTCAGTTAAAGATTTGATCAATTCGGGCAGATATTTATGGTCAGCTTTATAACTTTTCTTCAATTATTTGGACATCTGAATGCGGTGATGGGAAATAAAACAGCATGCTGCCAAATGAACAAGGCATGTTCATTAGTTCATGTATTTATCATATATGAAATCATTATTAGGCTATCACTTTGGCACCGTCTGATTGACCAAACTCCCGTATCTTTCGTTCAGTAAAAAAGCTACTTCACCAAGTGACCACTTATGAATTAAAATGTCATCAAAATGAACTATGACATACACAAGCATCCGCCAAAAATAACCATTTACCACTTCCAACTACAGGTGCAGTTACCAAACGAAGAGTCAGAAGCTTGCCCTTGTTGGAGTATGATCACACACATGCATCACGTGGAACAGAGACCAGTGCTTGGTAAGTCCACAAAGCTGTTTGTATCAACTTCAAGGGCTATTTAAGCTCTACAAAATATTTCCAGTCTTATAAGAACCACATTTCAGGCTTCTGAAGCAACAGATCTGGCTTAAACAGAGTTGAAAAACTCGGCTAAATTATTACAGGAATGACTATGAATTCTTTGTTCAATATATGACCATCTATAATGGAAAAAGCTGTCCAACCTAACTGTTTCAAATTTAATTAAACTGTAATTCAAGTCACACAGAAGGGGAAAAAACCTGATTAAGTCTGATGACTAATCTAAAAGACTAGTCTTTAGTGTCTCTACCTAGTACACCCTGAAAGCTGACTGAAATATGTTATGTTATACGGTAAGCAAAAAAATCCCAAGATTGTAGGCCAGCAGTTCTCAAAAGGAACTCTCAATGACTTCATATGAAGCCACTGCAGGAAAACTTTTCAGTAAGCCTCATCTTGAAATTAACAGACAAAAGCGCAACCACCTTTAATGTTATTTAAGAAGACGATCTTTCCTGAGTTCAAAAGACATTATTTCGTGTATAACTTACATAGCAGCAATCCATCAGCACATGGAATTAGGATAAATAATTCAAACAAAATGAGAATATGATCAAATAAGATGGAACAAAAAATAACGTTACAATAAAACTGGATATTGTTGTATACCACCATGACCTTTAAAACATCAAAAGCATCTAGGTAAGGATAATGTTAGGCCTTTCAAATGTTTTTGCTCAGTGAAAAAGGACCATTCATTTTTGAGTACAAGGATCCAAATTCTATTTCCTAATCAGTTTGTGAAGTTTTAGGGATGTAAACGGAAGCCTAAGATCTACAAAGTTTGCAGGACCATGAGATGGGGGGCACTACCTTCACAAATAGTCACTGGAAAATTCTCAGTGCTACACAACTTGAAAGGAACAGATCCCAATGAAGATGTCACATGAAGCTAAAACAACGAGCAATGCAGAAGAGACAGCTAATGCTTTATTTGAACTAACAAGAAGTAACTTGGAAAACATGTAGTCTAATGCAAACAGAAAACGTTTCTGGAGGGAAGGAAGAAGTGTTTAATGCTTTCAATTACAGCACAATTCTCTGGATGAAACATTCTTCCCCCACCTCCCTACTTCACCCCCTGAAAAAGCTCATTTAATGCCAAACGAGACATCTTTACTACTTCATTATTCTCCATGTTACCGTCTTTAACTTACAGTGACTGGAACATAAGTAATTGAAGCGAATATTGTCAAACTATAGTAAGGTCTATTTTGCAATGCATTATTCCTGCTTTTATTTCTTCATTATTTGAAGCTGAAAGAAGTCAAGAGCAGCTCTGACAGAGAAACCCAGTTACATCAACAACCAAAGTAAACATTTAGCTTGTCATCCCTTTTCTGAGGTGTTCACAATCCAAGAAGCAAAAGTAACAAGTCCCTACCCAAGAAAGTAGGTTTTATACAAAGTTTCTGATCATGAACCAATAAAATCAGTTGTAAAGTTTCACTTTGAACTGATTTCACCGAACAACTCCAAATGGAAATCCCACTGACAACTCTTCATTCACAAGTAGCATTTGCAACATAAGGTGATAAATTAAGCAGTGAAAAAAGGAAGCTCAGCAACACATTTTGGACTGGAGTGGCAGGCTTTTCGGGTTCACATAGACTCTTGTAGTAGCTTTGGTCCAGTTTTTAACTAACTTCTAATCTCTAATATGCACAATGTTGCAGTACCTGAAAGCAAGATGGCACACTAGAGAAGAAAAGATTTTCCGAAAAACTGCCCATCTGAGACAATCCCAAAAGGTTTCCTAGTACTAACTCTATGTAATATCTGAGGGATTTTTATTTATTTATTGTTGGGTTTTTAATTTGTAACTTTATGGCCTTTAGTAATAGAAATGGACTGAAGAGAAAATAAGAGAAAAGACAGTGGATATACTCCTAGGATAGTACTCAGACCTGTTTTCAGATGAAATCAATAATACTCAAAAATACCTCTGGATCTCCTTCCCTCTTCATAAATGAAGTTTTGAAGAACAGTATTTCCATTATAGGCATCTATCTTTGGCATGAATTGCCCGCGTTTCCCCTAGAAATATCTTAAGATGGCCTATCAATTTCCAAACACATTTAACGGGCAGAGGTCTCAAGAGATGAGATGCCTACCAGCTCGGCCAGCTGGCAGAGAGGGCACAGTTTGCACCGCAGCTCTAAGAAAGCTAAAGAGAAGACAGAACCACAAACTTGACCGCTGGGAGTTTCATATGAGACAGCATGGAAGAAAGTAATAGAGCGAAAGAGATGCAACTATGTACGAAATCAGGCCTTATTACGTGCAATATTTTCTTCCTTCTCTCCAACCCCTGCCCATAAACTCCCTAACCATATGTGGAAAAATATTACAAGAAAGGCAGCTTCTGTCAACAGTACTTAATCTAGTAACAAAACTTCTGCTAGAATACATAAACATGGGCTTTGACTTACCGGGTAGGACTTGAGCACTAGATCAACACACCCTTAATGTAGGTGTCTGCCTGAAAGCAAACTCCTATTACAAAGAAGTACAAAGATCTAGGCGACAGCAGATAGACTGATTAGTGAATAACCATGGGACCAGCCACTAGGTTTCTACCTCAGGATGAGACAAACCATCCCCTAGTTAGCGAAGCCTATAATGAGAACTTAGACATACACTTACAAACTAACACATATACTTAAGTGTCTTACTGCTGATCTGGACTCGACCAACTGTCATTGTTTCAGATAAGAATATTTGGAAACAGAGTTATCCACAAGGAGCAGATTACTTCTGCCTCATGACTAAGTCTCTTCATATTCATCTTTGGTTCAACTGATTCCAAAGTAAAATGCTGATAGTAAAACTAAGTTTCCTTTGCACACATTGCGCTTAATTATTTATGCAACTGTCCTGACAGCATATTAACTGCTCCATCCTACACTACTACTTGGCCTTGACATTTTATTTGAAAGATAACTTGGGAATAACAAAGTGTGTGATCTGCATCCAAAATAGTATTTAATGAAAGAATTGTCACAAGCTCAGTCTAGCACCACGTAATGTAAACAGAGTAAGTCGATTGAGATTTGGCCTACAAACTATCCAATCACAAGACAGAACAAACAGCTTGGTATACCTGGTCTGACTAACGATGCTGAAGAGAGAGATGCAACGGTAATCACAAGGGCAAACTATGTATCAGATCTAAATTCAAGAAGCATGGCCATCAGTTTGAGGGAAGTTACTCTTCCCTTCTATTCAACAGTAGTGAGAACATACCTGCAATACTGAGCCTAGTTTTGTTCATCCCACCAGGTCAAGAAGGACATAGGGAAACTTGGGAGGATCAAGCAGATGACGACCCAGAGGGTAAGAAGCCTAGAGCGCATGACCTCTAAGGAAAAGCTTTATGAACTGTGCTTTTTCAGTCTGCCAAGAAGAGGATAAGCTGTAATCAAATAGCAATCTAGAGCTATTTGAAAGAGACCTGCAAAGATAGCATAGCCAAACTTTTCTTTGCAATGGCAGATGGTAAAACACAAGGCAACAGCCACAAATTGTGTCTTGACAGTTTAAGACATTACAAAAAAATTCCTTGCTAGGAAGGCAATACAAGATTGCTAGGAAGGCAGTGGAACCTCTTTTGTTGGAGGTTTTTAAGACTCAGCTGGAAAAAACAATTTTGTCTGAACAGAAGGATGGACTAAATTTTCTCCAGAGTTTTCCGGAAATCAACAGTTTACAATTCTTGTGGCCCTAAAACACCAGAAAAGGTTAAAGGGTGAGGTGCAACAAGGGTCTCAGCCAATTTTTCTAGCACATTAGCAAATACAGAGGGCTTTATGAATACAGCAGATGACAATCACTAAGTATATAGGTCAGAGAAAAGGAATCTAAACTAGATGACCCCCTCAAAACC